GAACTTGTTACTATGTGATATTGGATTGAGTGTTATATGAATATTAATTTGATTTGACATCTAGGAAGTTGCATAATTTCAATCAAGGATCACCAAATTTTGTATTCTTGTCTATCTAATGAACGGGATATCTACTTCGAAATTGTAATTAATTTTCCAGCTTAAATTTCAGTTCCCTAACTCTGTCTTTGTATTAACCCATTGTAATTAATCAGGTTTTGGTTTGTTGCAGCTGTTTTTCAACACTCTTGTTTGAAGAAAGAGAACATCAGGCTTTCATTTGTTACTGCTCTGAATATTCGGATTCCTGCCCATCATTTTGAATAGGTATAATTTTTGTTTTTGAACCCATTGCTGCACCTGCATTTTGCTTCTCAAATTAAATGCATGTCTGTACTACTTTGAACATGGTAAAAGGGCAGATTTGTTTCTCTTATTTTTTTTACAAAGTTGGCTTCATAAAAAGTAATCGTTACATCATATGTTGTTCTAGTATTCTGTCAGTTTTAAGCCTGATGTTTTGGTGTTGAATTGAAGTCTAGTTGACGGGGTTGTAAATATGTTTGAAATTTCTGTATGTTATGTCCTTTTCCCTCAAATATTATGTTATGTCCTCTTCCCTCATATATGACAATAATCCAATGTTCCTCTGTGGACAGTAATGGCTCGTTTAACTAAAAGGCAGAAGCATTTGGTGTCCATTATGATGATGTATTTTCATACGATGGACACCCTAAACATCATACTAGTTTTTACGACGATTGCCTTGCTGCTGAAGAATAGGAATAGACATAGACGGGGCATATCATATGCGGGTAACTTTCGCAGTAACCATACCATTAGGACCCTCAATTTACGGAAAATGATTTTTCAAGATGATAACCAATGTGTAGTGAACTGTAGAATGAATATAACAGCTTTTGAAAAATTATGTTCATTACTTCAACGTGAAGGGGGGTTAAAATCAAATAGAAATACATCTGTAGAGGAAATGGTGTGTAGTTTTCTTCACATTTGTGCACACCATATCAAGAACAGAGTCTTAAGCCGCCAGCTAGCTAGGTCCGGTTAGACAGTTAGTAGAAATTTTCATGCAGTGTTGAACGCTATTTTAAGAATGCATACAATTTTACTGAAAGAACCTGAGCCTATCACGGAGGACTCAACGGATGAACGCTGGAAATGGTTCAAGGTACATAATGAAGAACCTAAACAATATATTATGGCAGTTTTTATGTAGGTTCCTTTTTAGTACAACACTAATTTATTAAATTTGTGTTATCCTTTTGGTAGAATTGTTTGGGTGCATTAGATGGAACACATATTAGGGTTCAAGTTCCCGCCCATGATAAACCTAGGTATCGCACTCGGAAAAATGAAATTGCGACGAATGTTCTTGCCGTTTGCACACCAAAAATGCAATTCATTTATATTCTCCCTGGGTGGGAAGGTTCAGCTGCTGATGGTAGAGTCCTTAGAGATGCAATTAGTAGGAGAAATGGATTAAAGGTCCCTCAAGGTATAGTTTCTATACAATTTTCCAAGTTCGTTACAATAACGGTGAATGATTATATGAGTATCTGTAATTGATATTTTTATTATCATGCTAGGTTTTTACTATTTATGTGATGCGGGTTACACCAATGGGAATGGGTTTTTGGCACCTTATAGAGGGCAGAGATACCATTTGAATGAGTGGAGAGATGGTTACCACCCAACGACACCTCAAGAATTTTTCAACATGAAACACTCCCGAGCAAGAAATTGCATTGAGAGATGTTTCGGCCTCTTGAAAGCCCGTTGGAAGATTCTAAGTGAGAAATCTTTCTACCCTATCAAAACGCAGTGCAGAATAATATCCGCTTGTTGCCTGTTACATAACTACATTAGGTCTGAGATGGCCATTGACCCTATGGAAAGTGAGGTTGGTGAGATGAACAATACCCCACCGGAAGCCGATCCCGAACCTGAATTTATAAGCCATGTGGAGCCAACTGATGCATGGACTGCATGGAGGGATAATCTAGCAGACCAGATGTTTGAAAGTTGGCAACAATCTAGGCTATTGTAATTAGTTTAGGGTGTTATTTCTTCAGCTAACAATAGTTATGGTGTTTTGTACTTCGTAATATATATATGACGTTTGAATGTAAATTATTTGTCTTGGAATATATGTTTTTTGTTTTTAAATCTTATATTGTATAAATATATTCTACTAGTTTTTGCTATTTTGTTGTTATTGTAGCTGTTGTTTTCTGGTTCTGGTTAATTTCTTCTACTGTTGGTCTATGGCTGTTGCTGCAACCGACTTGGTGTACTGTTGTAGTTTTGTTTATATATGAATTGATATAATTCAGTATTTGCTTGTTCTTGGATTAATCTAGGGTGTTTTGGAGTTCTGTGTTGTTTGACTCTATTTGTGTGGTTGTGGAAGTGGTTCTCGGTTGTTGTTGTTGTGAGTGATATTTGCAGGAGAATAATAATTTTTTCTTCATATTCAAAATTGCATGGGGTCGACTATTTTAGACTTGGGAAGATTTTCTAGTTGGACCAAATTGTGACTTTGTATTTTTGACATCAATTTGTCTTGGATTATATATTTTTCGTTTATGGATCTTCTATTGTATAAATATATTCCTGACTTTTATTATTTAGTAAGGGTTAGTATGATTCAAGATTTAATTATTTGCCTAATAAATGTTTAATTTCTTTTTCTTAATAGTTCATTCAACAATGGATAAGTCGGCAGCTAGTGGAAGTCAGGATATGCCTTTGGCAATGTATGACCCAAGCAACAGTAATAAAGGGAAGAAAAAAGTTGGTGGAACCGGAAGGAAAAGACAATGGACAAAAGAGGAGGATGCCATTTTAGCTAATTGTTTGCTTACTTTGAAGGAATGCCGTCATTGGGCTGCTAACAATGGTACTTTCAAAACTGGGTTTCTTGTCCAACTAGAAAAGATGATGGCAGAAAGAATTCCATCTTCTGGCTTGAAGGCAACACCACATATTGAATCACGATACAAGTTATGGGTGCCATTTAAGATATGTTAAATCACGGCAGTGGCTTTGGGTGGAATGATGAAGATAAATGCATAACTGCAAGCAATGATGTGTTTGAGGAGTGGGTGAAGGTAAGGTTTTTTCTATCTTGAATGCATCAGTAAATTTAATTTGTATATTAATTCTAAATGTCATCTATCATTTTTTCTTTTACAGAGCCATCCAACTGCACAAGGATTAAGGAATAAACCTTTCCCCCACTACGACACATTAGTCATTGTTTTTGGTAGGGACCGGGCAAGTGGAGCTAGAGCGGAGACCCCAGCTGATGCGGTCGAAGATCTTGATTCAGAAATTCCCGATAACAACAATGAATCAATGGATGTTGATGTTGATGCTGATAAAGGGAGTAACGTTCCAGACAATGATGATGTGGCTGCCTCTGGAGCTAGTGGAACTCGTAGGACATCTAGTAGCAACAAAAGAAAAAGAAATGATGATGGCATCTCTGAAATGGTGGACCAAATGAAGAAGTGGAGGGATACGTATGAGGTTGCTTCCCGAGGGATGGAAAAGATTGCCGCAGTTTTTGACAAATCGGACAATAGAAGTCAGTGTTTGTTTGCAGAAATTGAAGAATTGGGACTTTTAACCCCAACAGAGACGATAGATGTTTTGGAGGTAATGTGCAAAGATCAGCACAAGATAGATGTTTTCATGGGGTTGCCGGAGTCACTTAAGAGGACATATGTCTTGCGCATATTGAACGAAAGTAATGTCTACCGCCCACCTGTTAGCCCCTGACACAATCAAGTTGACGGGGTTGTATATATTTTTGACTCGTAATTAAGTCTATGTTGTCTTGTCTAAGGACATATAAATCCTTAGATGTTTTTGATGTGTTTGTTACTGAAATGGTGATGGGTTTAGGTTCCCACATGGACAGTAGATGTATATTTTGTCGATCACCCGCTAGTAAAAGGAAAGCAACGTCAAGGAGGGCTTTTGGTTTTTAACACGAAGGGAAGAAGTCCAAAGTCAGTAACCAAAGCATTTGAAGTGTCTATTGAAGACAGCGGAATTGTTAAGACATCTTTTGTCACGGTGAGTAATTCTTAAAAGCATTATTTTTGTTGTTGCAACTTCTTATTGGATTATCTTTAGTGGCAGGGAAAATGGAAGAATGAAGGCATGATTGATCACAGTTTCATCCACTCACTGTTGAGCTCCAGCTAAACTGAAATCGAAACTTCAAGCACTCCGCTTTTCCGTTCTGTTCTTGTAAAAATTTGTACTAAGTTTAATGTTTATGACTTATTGCCTCTAGATTGCTTTCAGTTGGGTGTAATATATATGTTGGTTGTGTTGGATGCTACAATCTTGTTCTAAATATTTTCATTTGTTGTTACATTGCTTTAGATATATGTATGACAAATTGTAATGGTGGGAATGAAATGGAACAGATAATCAAGTGATAAATTGATTATTTACACAAGAACAGCAAAAAAAACCAATAAGCAAAATAGCCAACCCTTAAGAACAGCTAAAAAGCCACACAGGCTGCTGCTGCAAAAAAAAAAAAAATAAATAAAAAAAAAAAAAAAAGGCAACCCTTATACAAGACCAGCGAAAAAACCCAATAAGCAAAATAACTGCTGCCCACAAACACTAGAAAAACAGCAGTTGCTGGTTCAAAAAAAAATGCAGTTGCCGGTTAAAAAAAAACTGCAGTACCTCACTAGTACAACAGCAGGACAACATTTAACAAATCCCCCTATCAAAAAGAACATGTTACTGCAGAATCATCATCTGGATGTTCTTTCTTAATTCTGAAGACTTCCTGCAATATCAAAACGCCATTTCAGTTCATGTAAAACAAAATAAATGAATCATAAAAAACAGAGAACAATTACAAAGTATTAGTCAGTTATTTCTGGAAAACTGATTTAGTAAATTTGCAAATAAACTTGGACAAGGCAACCTGTTCCAGTCTCTTTTTTCTTAACTTCAAAAATGTTTATGTATCAGAAGCACAGTTTGTTCCAGTCTATCTTCAAGCTGAAATACATTCAACACCAAAAATAAACGAAATTCAAAATCCAAATTATAAAATTTTAGCAGTAAGACTAAAATGAATCATTTTTATAGGTATAAAAAAGTTATTTCCTATTCAAGAAACAGATATGTATGAAAAGCTTTCTTAATTTCCAATAACTGAAATAACATGAGCATACAAAATGAAACTTACGCATCGAAATGCAACAACAATATTTTAACCTGCAAGTCTGTCAGGAATGTATCTGAGCGCGGCCCACGCATGCAGGCTTCCACTCGAGTATCCCAACACCCAGAACTTGCCATTAACACCCACAAACTAGCCAGAAACAACATATCCAATGCTGATGACTCAACGTTTCTACTGGAATGAGGATCACTCTCACCAAAACCTGGAAGATCATAAGTCAACAAGCAAATACCAAACTCTTCCAAAAGTGAAGTCTTAAGTCCAGGTATTCTTGATCAAGAAAGGATACAACATAACAAATAAAAACTTTACAAATGTAAGTAAAACCAATAGCACACTACAATCTTTTAACACTAAGATTATCCAACCTGCAAGTCAAGAGGAAAGAAACGTATAGGGAACAATTATAGAAAACCTAGCTCTGTCAACTGGAACACCTGGCACCCTATATGCCATGTATCTACCATCCGGAAGCAAAATTCGTTCAGCTCTAGCAGTATGTAGGAATACTTTCTTTATCAATGGGGTCGCTGAAGTGTTACTTTCAGTAGTTACACACAATACTGCACACAGTTAACCCAGTCACAAGATTATATGGTAGCAAAAGGAGACTGCCGCACAACCCATAAAAGTCCTTTACAATTATTAATTTGTTCTCATTTTGGCACTCATAAGAATATGTAAAAACATGGTAAGCTAAATAAGGATACTGGAAAACTCTGAATGAGGAATATTGTGGTGAAAACAAAAGTTGATTTAATATAGGCTTGATTAACTTGCAATAGATCTACTTTACCATTCAAAGCCCCTTTTCTCCTATGAGATACCCTAAACCTTTTTCTTTTTCTGGTTTTTGGTTTTTAAATCACAAACAATCAAAATTGCTCCTGTCAAAACTTTAATTCTCGCCTTCCCTACATTTTCTCAGAAAATAATCCACCACTGAACAGAAAAAGAAAAAAAAAAATTCATCCACAAAAGACAAATTTTACCTTCATTTTCTGACCAACAAAAGACAAATTTTACCATTTTTTTTACCTGCAAGAGCAAGAACAGAGACGAAACAAATCACCAACCACGCATGCAGAGGATCTTTATCTTCAGGCAAATACTCATTAAAGAATCTAAGTTGAGCACAGAATTTCGCACAAGGCCCTTTAATTCTCCTGAATCCTCTCCCAAGATAAATGTAAAACAAAATAAATTAATCATCAACGGAGAATATAGTGTTTGATATCAAATTAAGAGTAGTTGTTAAAGCTGCTCGGCCAATATCTATGGCTCTACTGGCATCGCAACTTTCTTGAACATAAGAAATGAGCTGTACCACTTTCTGGCGCCGCCGGAGGTGTTGATTAGCATCCAGTTTTTGAGTAGTGAAAATATTCGAGTTGCTGATTTTCCTGAGAGTTCTCAACTCAATGGAGGCCGGTAGCCAAGCCATGCTGAAGTCATCATGCCGGTGGGCGAGAAAGGCGTCAGCGACGGAACGACCCTTTCAGTTCCTTATGAACAGCAGAGTATAAACGATACAAGCAAATAATCAGGACTGTTAAATCCATCATAAATCCCACCAAAAGCCGGAAACTGCTGTCCATACGCCGTTACGTTGGTGGATTCTGGCAACCGGCGGTAGTTGCCGGCGGCTGACAGTGGCTGCTTTGGGTGGGTGTGTATTGTTCATTTTAGGAAGGGCCTGTTTTTGCCGAGGTTTTTAAAGATAGGAGTTATAAAATATAAATAATATTATAATAAAAATATTTAATTAAGGGACAATTTAGTAATTTAAACAACATACCCACCAATTTATTCCTTCTAACCAAACATATTAATAAAACATACCCATCAATTTATTCAAACTAACCAAACACATTTTTCTAAAGATTCCCAGTAATCTTCTAAGGTAATCTATCTTTCCAGTAATCCAACATTCCTAGTAATCTAACATTCCTGAACCAAACGCCCCCTTAGGAGTTAGGATCCCCCACAATATGTTTTCTTTACAGAGTTTTGCTACTACAAATAGAGCAACACAAATCAAAAGTTGGTTGTCATAACTTTTGTGTTGAAAATTCCTCAAAATAGAAGAATCCTTGTAAAGAGAAAATAGTGTGAACCCCTTTGGAGGCAAGATATGCAGAAAGACATGTGGATTAATTACTAAGTGAGGTAAGATTTTTAATTATGTTTAAAATTCATAATTGTTGTATGCTAGATCTTGGGTTTGCATTAGAATTAGTTTATAAGAAGTAGGATATTATTTTCTAATTCTATCAACACTCAAATGTATTTAGATAATACTATTCTAGATAAAGTTAATACTGAAAACCCTTTTAATAAAACAAAACATACATCCTTAGTTCAATTCTTAACAAACCTTCACTATTTGCCTTTGCAAGTGAATGGAGTTCAAAGTATTTTGCCACTTAAAAGACGATGCAGATGGAAAATTATTTTGTCCATTTTAATCATAGATTATGCCAAAAGATAGGATTGTTGCATCATGTTTTAAAAAAGCTAGTAGTGAAAGCTACTGACTATGTGTGACAATGACGATAGTATAATCATGTGTGTTAGAACGAAAATGTACAATCAGCTTGGAGCAAGTAATGGTCTGAAGCAACCTATAGCTCTAAGTAGCTTATGAGACTACGATCAGATTGAAGCAAGCTATGATCATATTAGAGCGAGCTATTTGACAGTTATCTTTCATATCATGGATAAGCCTTATCCCCTAAAACCAAGGAAAAGATCACGACAATGTTCCCTATAATCTCAACCTAATAAGTACGCCAATGATCATGGGATTATCTCTTGAAAATCATACTATTATCCCTGAAATTTACTATTGTGACCATTAGCTTTTCATAGTATATAAACTCCTGAAAATCATTGTAAAGGGGAAATATTGAGAGAGAAAAATCATTATTGTAAGGCTAAACACTTTAAATAAAATATCAGTAGACGTAGGCTTGATTTAACTTGTAAAACCATTTTAAAAATCTTCATTCATTCTTGTGTTCTTTAGCTTAATTAATTTCTTACTGATTTTAATTAATCAAGCACACATTCTATCCAATTCTTTCAAGGTCAATTGGGTATCGCGAGTTGTTGCGAATTTTCGTAACAACAATGTGAATTTATTGTCTTGTCCTTGAATGAATTGGTTCAACTTGCAACAAAGTCATCATTTTATCCCTCCCCAGTTGCCTTTGACCAATGTTNTTTAACTAAGCACCCCCAATAATAGAATGTTATAAATTAATAAAAACACCCCCACCCACCCACGTATTGTTGGCAATCGGCCACTACCGTCGAAAGGTGGCCAGAATCTACCGAAATTATACACGATCGGTTGGATTTAGTCAATCGTTCGTCGATCTAGCCTTTTCCAGCCAGATCGTTGTCTCCATATCAAAGCCTCCATCACCCCAAACTCCAATTGGCCGCAGATCGTTGTCATCGCCATTTGATTCGTGATTTTTTGCCCAAATCTTAGGGGTGTATTTAATAGATTTTAAATCTTAGGGACTTATGGAATTTTGTAAGAGTATTTTTGTTAAATTTCAAATTTATTGGAGTGCCAAAGGCCGGCAAAAACAGCAGCCCATTGACTACGTTAAGGGGTGGTCCGGATTTGATGGAAAGTTAGAGAAGTATTCTAAAATATAAAGGAATGTTAAAATGTTTTCCCACATGTATGCGTTGGTGTCTTGGCATGGATGATCCACCTATTGATGTGGGGGCTAGTGACCCCATTCAAATTTTTTTCAATAATTTTTTTTTGGTCACTCTCTATTTGTATTATTGTTTCCATACCGTGATCTCACTTATTTAATTTTTTTCTTTTTTTGAATTTGTCCCTCTAAAGTCAATTTCTAATTCCGTCCTTTGTCTTGGTGATGTTTAATTTCTGAAAACCTCATGAGAAGTCAAGGATAAAATATGTAGTTGCATACACTTAGCAACTAATTAATATATGAGTAATGCTACAGCCACCGACGGTAGTGCATCGAATTTGAGCATCGAATAACGTGGCAAAATCCTGACCGTTGATTAATATTATATTAAAATTAATCAACGGTCAGGATTTTGTCACGTTATTCTGTGCACTACCGTCAGTGGTTGTATTATTTTCCTTAATATATATAGCTACCATCCATGGCCACAACAACACCCATAATAAATTTGTCCCTCTAAAGTCAATTTCTAAGTTCGTCATTTGTCTTGGCGATGTTTAATTTCTGAAAACCTCATGAGAGGTTAAGGATAAAATATGTAGTTGCATACACTTAGCAACTAATTAATATATGAATAATGCTACAGCCACCGACGGTAGTGCATCGAATTTGAGCACCGAATAACGTGATAAAATCATGACCGTTGATTAATATTAAGTTAAAATTAATCAACAGTCAGGATTTTGTCATGTTATTCGGTGCACTACCGTCAGTGGTTGTATTATTTTCCTTAATATATATAGCTACCATCCATGGCCACAACAACACCCGTAATAAATTTGTCCCTCTAAAGTCAATTTCTAAGTTCGTCATTTGTCTTGGCGATGTTTAATTTCTGAAAACCTCATGAGAGGCTAAGGATAAAATATGTAATTGCATACACTTAGCAACTAATTAATATATGAGTAATGCTACAGCCATCGACGATAATGCACCGAATTTATGCACTAAATGACGTGACAAAATCCTGACCGTTGATTAATATTAAGTTAAAATTAATCAATAGTTAGGATTTTACCACGTTATTCAATTCATAAATTCGATGCACTGCCGTTAATAACTGTATTATTTTCCTCAATATATATAGCTACCATCCATGGCCACAACAACACCCGTAATAAATTTGTCCCTCTAAAGTCAATTTCTAAGTCCGTCCTTTGCCGTTTAATTTCTGGAAACCTCATGAGAAGTCAAGGATAAAATATGTAGTTGCATACACTTATTAACTAATTAATATATATAGCTACCATCCATCCGTAATAAATTTGATTAAACAGACACAGCCATTGGGAGTGAATGATTGGGTCGGGCTCTCTACCCTTAATTTCTTTTCAATCACATTTATTAAACAACATTTTTTAATAAATAAAAAATATATTTATTAATTTTTAAATATTAAAAATAAAATTTTTATTCAAATTCAATAAACTCTTTAAATTTAATAAAAGTACTCTTTATTTATAAAAAAAAGAGAGAATTAATAAATAAAATTTATAATTTATTAATTAAAATTAGGATAGAGAGTGAAATTTGACTCTTTAAATATAAATAGTCAAATTCACTCTTTAATTTATATTTAAAGAATAAAAAATATATTAAACTTTTATTTTTATAAATAATTCTTTATGATAAAAAATTTGAATCACACAATATAAACAGTACTTAAAAAAAATCTCTACTATACTTGAAAGTGTATATTGAATAATTGTTCACAACTACCTTGACCTGTAAATAAATATAAATTTCGCCTGCCACTACTGTTGCCCCACCACTCTCTCTCTTCACTATAAATATGATACTCTTGTGCCTAGAATTTTGCTTTTCTCATACCAATTAACTCTACCCTCAAAATTATCAACTTCATCATTCTCTTCCATTCAAAAAGGTATAAGAATTCTACGTCATTCTTCGCTACTTGTTTTATTTAATTCCTTTTCGATATATAATAGTTATTTATATATTTTTATCATGAAAGAAACTATGTTTCAATCATTTAATTTGAACCCCTTTATTAATGGTACTGTAACAATATCATTAAACCTACACCGGTGCCTGATTTTTCTTGCGTCAGTGTAGACCGTTTTTCTTGTGGTGTTCATGAGGTATGCATGACCTACCAATATATTTATATTATATCCTTTCTATGTGATTTATTTATATATATATAATTTCTTCTTATTTGCTTGCTTACATGTAATTTTTAACAACTGGGATTAACAAAATAGCATGCTGTCAGTGATTCATTATTGAGCAATCTTTCTCTTTCCTTTGCTACTTTCTGTAAACAAGGTTTTGATCCACCCTCTTCTTGGTCTGTTCAGAGCAGGCCTTTCAACGAACTTATTATCGTACAAGTGTTCATTTCAAAGTGAAAAATATCATCGCATTGTTTTTCATGCATGTGTTGAGTGTTTACTTTTGCCACAGAACTTGTTTTCTTCCTCCAATCAACTGTATTTTAGTAAATCATTCACACATATCCTAAGTCCAATAAAATATATATCATGGAAAACAAAAAAATTGTTGTTAATTTTCTGAGCGGATGCAGTAAGCTACATAGATATCTCAAAAGAAGAATACTTTTTGATGATATCTGCTAAGTGCTATATATTACTTGTTTTTTAATTAATGTTTAGCCATTTTAATAATTGATTTCCTTGATATATAGATTAAAGAGATGTGGAAGCTGAAAATAGCTGAAGATGGACCATGGCTGAGCACATTAAACAATCACATCGGAAGGCAACATTGGGAGTTCGATCGAGAGAGTGGAACCCCAGAAGAAGTTGGCCAAGTGGAAAAAGTTCGCCAAGAATTTAAGAAGAATCGGTTTCGAGTTAAACAAAGAGCAGATATGTTGATGAGAATGCAGGTGTGTCCATCTGTTTCATGAGTTATGATTATTAATTAGTAAACAACCTTGTAATAATAGGAAATAGGAGGTTGGAAAATTAGAATTCTGGCCGGTCTTTAATTACAAATACAAGAATCTAAATTGGGTTGGTGACTCTTAAATCTTTGAATTTTTGTTTTGCCTGCCTTTTTAGTAAGTGGCCAACATATCTTCCAAAAATATTTACTGTTGAGCCATTTGCACATGACATTTGGAAACCAATCGTTTCATGTGTTCATTTATGTTATCGGTGAATAGATCTTAAAAACAACTATGGTCCTGAGCCTTTAGATTTTCATTAGGACGTTAGTCATGTCATACAACCTGTACATACAAATTATGTGATATTTATTATAATTATATTTTATTTAATATTGATTTTTAGTTGTAAACCCTTTCAATTTTTTTTGTGGATACATTAATTGTATATGTTATAATATTCTTTGGATGATAAAATAAACTCTTTAAAGATCTTTTGTATAGAAGCAAATTATTAAAAGAAAAGAAGAAGAAGAATAGCGATTACGACAGGAGAGTGAAAAGACATACTTAATTAAAAAAATATAAACAACATAATTAATAAAGAGATAAAATTGAAAATATATTATATAAAAAAGAAAATTGATGAAAGCTGCTCAAATTAATTGTTCATCTTTCAAAATTATATATTTTAAAACAATTATGATATGATATGATATTGTGATTGATTTAATTTGTGGCTTATGAAATGTAACAGCTTACAAAGGAAAATCCTCGTGGGGAAATTCCCGAAAGAGTGGAAGTTAAAGAAGGAGAAGAGATAACAGAAGAAGCAGTGACTACTACACTAAGAAGAGCCATAAGTTTTTACTCTTCCATTCAAGCTCATGATGGCCATTGGCCTTCTGAATCTGCTGGCCCTCTCTTCTTTATTCAGCCTTTGGTAACAACTGTTTATTTATGAAATTACTAGTAAAATAGTAATGACTATTCTATTCCAACTAATGATGTGATGAGCAGGTGATAGCTTTGTACGTTACTGGAGGACTTAATGCTGTATTATCATCAGAACACCAGAAGGAAATTAAACGCTACCTCTACAATCATCAGGTGTTTATAAATACAGTAATCTAACCCTTTTTAATATTTTGAAAATCATTTATTTGATTGATTATATGTTGGCAGAATGAGGATGGAGGTTGGGGATTACACATAGAGGGTGAGAGCACAATGTTTGGTTCAGCACTGAGCTACATAGCCTTGAGATTGCTTGGAGAGGGAACTGAAGATGGAGAGGACATGGCTATAGCACGAGGCCGCCAATGGATCCTTGATCACGGCGGTCTCGTGGCCATTCCATCTTGGGGAAAGTTTTGGGTTTCGGTACTTGGAATCTATGAGTGGTCCGGCTGCAATCCTATGCCCCCAGAGTTCTGGCTTCTACCTAAGATCTTCCCTATCCATCCAGGTACATATATATCATATCGCTAGTAAATGAGTATAAGATTTTATATATAAAGTTTGGATCCTTCTAACTAAATAAATAGGCTTTCTGTGTGAAACTCAAATACATATCCAAAGCGAATGTAAAGTTTTAGAAAATTTCTAGTTTGAGTGGCATAATTCAAAATGGGGTATGGTTCCAAAGCAAATAAATAAAAATAAAAAATCTACTTGATAGAAAATTTTAGGGTTTAGGTAATTAGGTATCAGTCCAAAGCGAAAAAACACTTGATTAAACCTCGATGCAAAGATTTATATCAATTTATAATTTAGGAGATATAATTCAAAACTGGGTATCAATCAAAGTGAAGAATATCCACTTGATATGAAGTTTTTTAAGAAAATTAACTGAAAAATTTAAATGCAGGAAAAATGTTATGCTATTGCCGTTTGGTTTACATGCCAATGTCATATCTATATGGAAAGAGGTTTGTTGGGGCAATCACCCCATTAATTCGATCACTCAGACAAGAGCTTTACAATGAACCATATCATCTCATTAACTGGAATAAATCCCGAAACACAGTTGCAAGGGTTAGTATTACTTTGGATTCCTTATATGTTATGCAATTATATATGTATTATATTTGATGATGGATCATCAGGAGGATCTCTACTATCCACATCCTTTAATTCAAGATTTAACATGGGGGTTTCTACACCATGTTGCTGAACCTTTCTTCACACGTTGGCCCTTTTCTATGATGAGACAAAAGGCACTCAAAGTTGCAATTCAGCATGTACATTACGAAGATAAGAATAGCCAATACCTCTGCATTGGATGTGTTGAAAAGGTATTTTAATTTAAACATATTTATATCTAAAGATTTTAAAAATGTCTAATTAAGATAAATTTATCATAATTATATAATTAATTGTACTGCGTGCAGGTGCTATGCCTTGTTGCATGTTGGGCCGAAGATCCAAAATCAGAAGCATACAAACGCCATCTAGCTAGACTGCCTGATTACTATTGGATTGCTGAAGATGGCTTGAAATTTCAGGTTCAAATTAGATTATTTACATTCGTGTCTAGTACTCCACATCCTACCGCTTATACAGGGATTGATCCCTGATTCTGATATAAGTAATTAAATTACGTAAGCACAAACGAATATAATTTTTATGTAAATATTAATTTTTTCAATAAAGTTAGGTTAATGTCACCTTGAGGACATCTTTTGTTTCTGTGTAAAAAATGGTATTTCAAAGTCAGGATTTAATTAACAGGGGGGTATTTGAAAGGTTAAGATCTTGACTCTTGCAGGATTTAAGTCAAATTTATCAAAAAATTAATAATCAACAATTAAATTAATGCATGCCCTATGATTTGAATAACATAATGCAGAGTTTCGGTTGTCAACTGTGGGATGCAGCTTTTGCCATCCAAGCAATTATCTCAAGTAATCTAGTTGGAGAATATGGGCAAACACTTCGTAAGGCACACGAATTTGTGAAAGCTTCACAGGTAATTAAATCTTAGAATTTGAACTCTTAATTCTCACTATCTCATGTACTAACTGAAATCGTGGTGCCATAAATAAAGGTACGACAAAACCCTTCTGGCGATTTCTCTTCAATGTACAGGCACATCTCTAAAGGTGCATGGACATTTTCGACACAAGACCATGGTTGGCAAGTCTCCGACTGTACTTCAGAAGGATTAAAGGCTGCACTCTTATTGTCACAAATGCCATCACATCTTGTTGGTCAAAAACTGGAAACAGATCGCTTATATGATGCTGTTAATGTTATTCTTTCCTTGCAGGTAATCAGAATTCTACTTATCATCCTTCATGCATGTTTTCTAGAACGTTATAAAACATCAGAAATTCTTAACTGCCGACTTCAACTCGAACAACACTATTTTAGTCTTTTTCTATCAAGAAAATCGCTAAAGATAAAATTTCACAAACTCCTATAACCCTCTGCATGCACAAGTTAAGTTCATATATTCTTAAGAGAATATGTTTTTCTCTCGTCTTGGAGATTTATTGCCACACTTACTATATGTTGCTAATGTCTATACAGAGTAGAAATGGTGTTTTCCAGCTTGGGAGCCCCAAAGAGCATTCCGATGGTTGGAGGTAAATTTGACAACTTATTAACTAACTTGTCCCTTTTGTAAACATGTTCAATCATAGCTTATAAACCTACTAGTTACTAGGTAAGGGAAGTATCACTCAACATTTCTAATTACTGTATCTTTCTCTGCAGAAGTTCAATCCTACAGGTTCTTTGAAGACACTCTAATCGACACGAGTAATGTTATGGCAACTAAGTACAGGTATTGTATAACTATGTAAATATATGATGATTTGAACAAAATAATTTAGGTTGGAATGCACTTCTCTGCAAACAAGGTTTGGCACTCTTCAGAAAGTTAAATCCCGAGCATCGAAGGAAGGAAATAGATAGTTGTATCTCAAAAGCAATTCGTTACATTGAAGACACACAAAAGCTGATGGTTCATGGTAAGGTTTTAGAATTAATTATACCCTTCGAAATCATACTGATTAACATAGTTACATTTGTGGTTTAAACTAAAACTAGGTAGGTTGTTGGGGAATTTGCTCACCTAGGGACATGGTTTGCAGTAGAGGGATGGCAGCCTGTGGTAAAAACTAAACAACAGTCCTGCATTGCGCGTAAAGCTTGTGAATTTTATTATCAAGCATACCTTGTGGTGGGGGGAGAGAGTTATCTTTCAGCAAAATAAGGTAACAATCAAAATTTTACGGTTCGTAACTTCAACTAAAGTAACTTTGTGTTTGTAAGGTTAACATACTTTCTCCCACTATAGGTATACGAATTTAGAAGGTAACCGAACAAACGTGTCGTAAACAGCATGGGCTTGTTGTCTTTAATTGATGCAGGACAGGTCCTATTATACTAATTTACTCTAAAATCAAGTAACGATACTGATCATGATGTTGTTTTTCACAATAGCTAAACTTGATGGGACATGTTTGTTTAATTTAGGCTGAAGTGATCCTACACCCATTCATCGCGGAAAGGGTCTTGATCAATTCACAGATGGAAGATGGTGACTTCCTCAACAGGAAATACAGGAGTTTATGAGGAACTGTACACTAAATTATCTCATATCGAAAACTCTTCTCTTATGGGCTCTTGGAGAATATCGACCGTGTTATATTTGCCTAATTATCTAAACTAAAAGCAGAGATGAAACTAAAGTCACAACAATTACACTCAGTGCAAGAATGAAGATTAAGGTCAGTTGTGTTCGGGGTTTAGGGACATTATGGGTAATGTCATCTAATTACTCTGATTACCACGTTTGGTTGTCAAGTAATATAGATATAGTAATCTTCAAATACCAATAGTGGTTATATGGTAATATAGAGGTAACTTGATACCTCCATTTTCTTAGGTTTTCGAGATTACCAGGGTTATCTTTTTTTGTTACAATTTTATCCCTTATTAATAAAAATTTGGACAATAATACCCCTACTTTAAAATAAATTTACATTAATACTATTTCAATTTTACCCTTGTTTAATTAAAATTTTGGACAATAGCATATATTAAAAGAATTTAGACAACCACGCCACAAAGCCAACACACAACGGCCACCCAGCCACCACCATCGCCGCCTGCCGCCATCGCGAACAACCACGCCAAAAATCACGCGAGCCCCAAAAACACTGGAAATTCTGTGGGAGGCCGGGAGGCTTCGATAGGCCGTTTTTGGCATATTGATGGCGAAAACGGCCATATCGGGCCAGATCCCTCGATCTGGCCGGAAATGGCAGATAGATCTGGCCATTTCCGGCCAGAACTGGCTGATATGGCGTTTTCGGCCAATATATGGCCAAAAACGGCCATATCGAAGCTCCCGGAGCTCCCACAGAATTTCCATGTTTTTGGGGCTCCGGCGATTTTCGGCGGTTGTTCGCGGTGGCGGCAGCGGGCGGCAGGAGGTGGGGGTGATTTCGTCATGAATTAAAGTTTTTTATAAGCGGGGTGTTTTAGCTAATCTGAAATATTGGGGGTTAAAAAAATTATCCAAAAATTAATAATAAAAATAATATTATATTAATATTTAAAAGAGGGTCAATTTAGTAATTTAAATAACATACCCACCAATTTATTCCCATAACCAAACATATTAATATAACATACCCACCAACTAACCAAACATATTTTCTTAAAGATTCCCAGTAATCTTCCAAGGTAATCTATCTTTCCAGTAATCCAATATTCCCAGTAATCTAACATTCCTGAACCAAACGCCCCCATATAGTAAACCACAATATATCAGTTTGTCAGAATATGTAAAATATCAGAGAAAATGTAAAAGTCTCCCCTATCAACTGTGCAAAATCTCTTCAGAAATGTCAATGTGAATATACTGTATATGTAACATGTATGATTGTACTTGTTATATATACATCATTAAGATTTTACATGGTGTTTAACTTTGTGTGAGTTAATAGAACATCTGCCAATGCAATTTGCACAAATAACTAAGCAAAGATTATTAAAACTCACGTAAAATAGTTGAATAACAACTTTAGTACTGACTAACTTTTGGCCAGCAAACTTATCGAATCCATTGTTAACTCTTTTATCATCAACCGAATTGGTCTAATTTTCAAACTACAGAATTGGCTCACTACTATGTGAATGATGTGATTTTTTGGATTTAGGTTGAAGATTGGTTTGATCTTGTGGGATTATGAGGATGTTAATATAGAACAACTTTATTGGGGAAACTAACTAGTTTTCACACCAATAATTAATTCATTGTAGGTCCTAGTCATTTCATTTTTAATGTTTCTAATTAACTTTCATGAATAAAATATTACCTTAGGGAAATTTAAAAAAAATAATAATAAAACATTAATTATTTGCCCCATTTTTTATTGCCTTTCAGTATGACATTTTATTTTAAGTTTTCCTACTTTACCTTTGCCTTTTCATCACTAAATAACACAAAATCCTTCTCTTCAACAGAGGGTTTAAGAATTCTTTTATTTGAAATTGAAATGTAGAATAATAAATGTTCTTTCAGCATTAAAACCAAAAAAAAAAAAAAAAAAATAGTGTGCTAATTCAATTGGGTTCAGAAGTAAAATTTCCTAAAAATGATAAATAAAGCATGGTTTGACTACACTCAAGTGCTCGACTAACATTACCCAGCTCAACTAGGGTGGATATAATAATGAAAATTATAAGGGACTTCTTGATATTGAATATATCCACCAGTAAAATTGCAGTGGATTTTTGGCGTACAGTACACAAAAAGATGTCAAGATCAATATCATCAATTTTTTATAAGCCTAAAAGATATCATACAAGTCGCTAAAAGATGTACACTGGTTTGATACATTAGATATCATATCATTTTGATTGATGTTATGCTTCATATAGGCTATGGTTCAAGTAAAGATGTTGTATTTACCATGAAATATTGTACATTACTTCAATCAGGACCAATACAAAGCCCAACTACCTGTTTATGCTATATGGGAGAACACAATTTGGAAGATACAAAAAGAGGAACTGAGATGCTCCACAGATTGAGCAAATTGGTTGACTCCAAAAAACTTGGGTTGTCAATTTCTCATGTTTTTTATGTTCACACGTGTGATTACACATGCATAATTTAGCATACTTAAAACCCTAGACAAAATATCGGGTGCTCTACGTATCTGGGCACTAAAAGCTAGAGTCTCTGATGAACAGATTCCAAGAGGTCATGAGATTTGGCATTAAGAAAAAGAATCTAGGAGAGTTGCTAACTTCATAGGTCAGCAAAAAATGAAACACTTAAGAGTTTGTCAAAGACAATAAAAAACCAACAAAGCCATAGTATAACCAAATTGTATCACATTCTAGTTTTTGTTCATAATGGAAAATCAAACACAATAATTGCTGAAATTTTCATTAGCATAAGAGCTACATACCCTACATTACAGTCATGGACATAATCTGTTGTGCGAGACCTGGATCTTGCTGTAAGAGCTCTGTCAAGTTGTTTTCCACCTCTGCCTTCTGCTTCTCTATGTATTCCTTTGAGGCCTGCTCAAGGAAAAGATATCATCTTATTCCAATCCTTACCTTTTTACAGTCAAAAGAAAAAGAATAGAAAGGAATCCATATCCCCTACTTGATCGACAGAAAAATAATGAGGAAAAGATATACAATCCCTCAAAGCTCAGAAAACTTGACCCTTCAATTGTGGAATGAATAGGAACAGAAATATATAATTGTTTTCTTCCTTTTCTTTCTTATTATATTCCAAACAATTGTAAGTGACAACAATTTTCAATTTCATCTTCCTTAGAAATAATGAATTCCCTTCCCTTGACAAAGCAAGGAGTTATGAAGGTGAGACACTTTCTGCAACAAACTTCCAATTTCCAATGAAGTCATTTCACTCATTACCATAGTCCAAAAGTATGATTCTAAAAGAATTTACTAGATTAAATCACATGAGCATGAGAAAGCATAACAAACATAAACAAAACTTGATAGATGCTAGGTCAATCGATACCATTTACGACTTTAATTCTGGCTGATTGTCATGGCAATAAATAATCTGAATCCATGCCAATAGCAAGTTCAACATTTTAGAAATAGCAAGATGAACTTTTTCATGGAAGAAACCTTTATTTTATTTTTTTACATAGCCTCAATCGAAAGATGAATACCACCTGCCAATATATATGCAGTTTCACATTCCCATCCATGAACAATTTGAGGTTCTTAGACTGAGATTTCAAGTTTAGTTAGTTGTGGTAGCTTATATTATCCTTCTTTTCCCTCAGTGATAAAGTGATATAAAAGAGCTGATTGCTTACACACAGAGAAAAATATGGTTTTGTCCAAAGTCCAAATTTGTTATAACAATTTAACCAAAGATAATCCTAGAGTCTACCAAAAATAATTCAGCCATCCTGGTTTTCCATAAAAATGTTAAGAATATTGACATATTAACTCATCCAGTGCTTAGGTTAGAAAGGTGATCCCATACTATGTCATACACTAAATACAATTATCAATGAAGTTGGATATGTTAAATATTAGTAATAAGAATATAAAAAGTTGAAAGTTGTGAGAAGCAGTTAATATAGAAAACTAAAGATCGATATGGTTAAAATGACCAGTTAAAAGTACTGATGGGAAAAGCATTTGCTAGGATGTCTAATTTTCATAATGCAATAAATGAAAATTTATAGCAAGAATAAGCAGTTGAGAGGACATATACCTGTAATGCTGCAATTGCAGTTTCACTATCCTTAAATTTCTGCTCTTGTTCATTCATTAAACCTGACTTGGGCTCCAAAACAAACCTGGCCATGACATGTGAGCGTTAGACAGTGAGAGTAATAATGAGAGAGACAAACAAAATAGTTAGTCAAATTTAATAATTGACATTCCAGGAAGTCTAAAAATGAAATTTAGTGAGAGCCACTAGGTTTTCCGGTACTCACGTTCTCCCTGCAAAATGATAAGGAGAAGAGGGTTAACCATGTAATCTGTCTCACAGAATTTAATATGCTAAAAATGAAAGTTGAAAGTGACAACAGCTACTCATTTAAGATCCAGAAGCATATAAGGCAGTCTTATTACCAAACCACCAAACAGAAACTGGTTAATTTCTTAGATTAAAGAATTGATCTGAGTAAAGCATGCTAAAATAAGATAATGGCTCTAAATTGATACCTATGGATTTGTATGTATTTGTATCATCAGGCAATTGGCGCAGCTCCTCCAAGGTTAAGTAAGCACGCTTCTTCTCCCCTTCTTTATTTCGCATCTGGTTCTGCACCTGAAAGCAACAAGATCACTCACTTCAGTTTAAAGAGTCAAAACTATCTTTCTATCACTAAATCAAATGCATCATGGCAAAACTGTCCTAAAACTATCTTCAAATGGAACTCTTCAATTGATAAAAATACATCCAGTGACGTAAAACAGTAATTAGAAGACAAAGAGAGGTGATGTAATGTTTACTAAAGCACCACCCTAAACACCAAAAGACAACAAGACAATCAAGGGCAGCAAACATATAATCCAACTGAAATGGCATCATCATTACAAATGTCCAGAGAAGATATTCTTGAAAGAGTACAAGAATTAGGATCTTCACAGGGCTGCATGGGCAACTACGAATGTAGCTTCAACATATGAGGTGCAAGTAAATAATCAAAAAGTTAAATTTTCACATTATAACCACAAAGTAAAACAAGTCAAAACCTGACATCAAATCTTTATATTTCACTAATTTTTTAATGACAAAAGAAATCCTATTCAGAGGAACTTATTCTGAAAATAAAGAATTCATACCTTAAAGCTATAACATCAGCGCTTAATGAATGAACAATTACACCAACATTGATCTAGTGTCATATTTTTACATGTGAAGAAGAACTGATACTAAAAAATCCTTCCCCTTTCAGGAGCAGCTTTCAATTCACCTGTTTGTCAAACGTTTGGCAGAGTGCATAGCTAAAAAATTTCATTCATTCTACATCTCTATCCCCTCCATTTTCCTTCCAAACAATCATAAGAGAAGGAAATATTATAATTTTTCCTTCTCCCTACTCCCTAGGCCTTCCTCCAATATTTTCTTGAGAAAAAAAAAAAAGAATAAAAACAATCCTGCTTTGGCTTCAAATCTTCTTCCTTAAAACTAAAACGTAATTATTTTCTACTTTCAAAGCATGCCAAGAGAACACTAAGCTAAATCAACAAAACAAGCCAAGTGAAAATGCGTGAAGCGAGGGAAAACTCATATCAGAACCATAAAAGTAATCAATTGCGAAGAAAAGTAAAAGAGACTGACCTGCTTCAATTTGCCAGTAGTTTCAATCATGCGACCTTTAATCTCCAGAAATGCCTGTTTTTTTAATCAAATGGTTTCAGATCAATAAAGAAATTTGTAATTTAACAAATATGAATCAATGATAATCTATGGCTGTTCTTACGGTTCTGTTGGCTTCGTCAGACATTGTAGAAGATACTCCAGTGCCGATATGTTGATTCTTTTGAGCTTCAAAGCCCTATTATTCAGGAATTTTGTTAAATAGCTCTTTTCTCTTTGGTTTAAGCAGTAGATATGGCAATGCGTCCGATATTTTCGGCACTCGGTCCGGCCCAAAAAGGTTAGGCTTTACCTGATATTCGCGAGCTTAAGCTTGGACCTGATTTTAAGATCCAACTTTGGGTACGGACTGGACTTCGGTATATCTTCAGACCTGACCCGATAATTTTAGTATTAAATTATCTTTATACTATATATTTAATTACAAGACTATCCTAGGTATATATATTCATCTTTCTCAAACCCTATATGGATGGATAGATTCACTTTGTGGAAATTTATTTATATATTTGGTGAATATTCAAAAATAGATTAATATTTTAAAAATTGTTTCTAAAATTAAAAATATAAAAAATAAAATTTATTAATATTTAAAAATGAACGGGCTTGGATCGGGCCTGAGGTTACAAAAGCCCGTCGGGCTGGGCTTGGGCTTTACCTGTCTTACCAGTGACAGGCTCGAGTAGGGCTTGGGCATTTGTCATGAGGTCGAGCTTGGGCCTGGGCCAAGGGGTATCCGGTCCCGACCCAGCCCGGCCCATTACCATCCCTATTAAGTAGGAAGGGTAGCCCACCCTAGACCTGAGGAAGGATCGGTCTGGACTCGATTGCGACCAATTGCCCATGAGAAATTTCAGGTCCTAACCCCATTTGACCAGTCCGGTCCTATGGACTGGAAAATTATTTTTCACCCCCAATTTTTTTTATATTTAGGGGCTAAAAAAATTATCTTGAGAGGTTTATGTAATTGTTAGGGGCATGGAAAATTTATTTCCACCTTGAGAGATTAGTAAATTTTTAATTAATTTTAAAAAATATTAAAATAATTAATGGTTAATTATAATTAATAATTATTTATAAATATGGGGATTTAAATTTAAACTTTAAAGAGATAATTTAATTAATTAATTTTAACATAAATATAAATTCACACATTCACACTTAACAAATAAACAATTAAATAATTTTTTTTTATTAAATTATTTATCGTCAACAATATTTACACCGTTCAAATTTGTGTTCCTGAAGAGTTCGAGTAGTTTGGGATCTTTAGGGTGTGTTGTAGTCTTCTTTCTACATGAGTCCAATCTCATAAACACGTTATCACTTCAATCATCTCATTGGTTGAGCATCTTTTGTCTTTGACAATCCAACCACTCGTTGAGAATGCTAAATCGGATGCAATTGTAGAAACCGGCATAGATAAAATGTCATGTGCCATTTGGTCTACAATGGGGAATCGACTTTGATGTTGTTTCTACCATTGAAGCACATCCATCTCACGTTTCTCCTTTTTTGCCATGTAGGAAATGTCCATTTGTAGGTAGCGATTTAGCTCATTTGGTCCATGTATGTACGCGTTGGAGCTGCTACTTTCGCCGCCATGTTCCATATACGTCCATATGCTCGATTCTTGATAGTTGTCTTCATTAGGGTCCTGTTGGTCGTCTTTACTGGACGTTCGAGTTTCACTGTACCTACTCTGATATAAAGAAAAAAGACTTTCCAATTTTTGCTTAAAGTTAATCAAATAATACATATAATCATGTCCTAAATGCTAGCATATCTTAGTAACTATACAATTAACTACGTGTAATTTAAATATAAGATTTACAACAAGGCTTAATCCATATAAGAATGGAATATCTAACCAATATTTCTCGAATTTTTTTTTTTTCCATCTTTGAAACAATTTCCATTAAAACGTCATTATATTTATATTTAGCAAAAGTTTTATAAATTTGAAATAAAATATCTAACGCTAAATTAGTAGTAGGATAATAAATACTACTTAATGTATTAGTGGATTCATAAAAAACTTTAAGAAATGAATAAAAAAGTTTGTAAACTTTCCAATCATCATAGTTGACAACTTCCTACGGATTCTTCTGATTAACAAAATCTGTAATTTGTCTTGCGGTTGGCAAAACTTTTTCCAACATCAAGTAGGTAGAGTTCCAACTGATAGGTTACCTTTAATGTTTCTAACTTAACTCTTTTTGATGATGTAGATTTGAGGACGAATCCATTTCAAGAGAGAGGGTATGATGAAGACATGACCGAGCAGCATGTTGTCGTAAAGCCGATACAAGATCCTCTTCACATTCTGGTGGGCTCGATTACGAGGAGTCGAGCTAAAAAGATGCAACGTGCCTTGTTAAGCGTAATTGAAGAACTTGAAGCCAAGGAAGCAATGCATGAAGCCGAGTATGCCTTACAGGGATCCAAAAAGATTGTTAGCAAGATTGAAGCCCAAGTTCAAGTTTGAGGAATTAAAGACCGATTCTTGCTAGCCCTAATTGGGTCCAAATTGGCGTCCAAGTCTTTGTTCAGGGGGCTTAATTATTGTTATTTTATATGGGTTATTTTAAGACTTATTTTGGTGTACTGGGTTGAAGCTCTTTATGTTAGTAATTGACCGGGTTCGCGCAGCGGAAAAACGTAATATTTAAAGCAAATCGATCAATTACACGAACCAAGATCCGAGTACAGATTTTAACGTTTTCACGCATAAACTGAAACGCAAAATAAAACTGTATAAAAACAAATTCATACAAGGATTTAGTTCATACCAACGTTTGGAGGCTCCTCCGAATATCTCTGACTTTGGACACGAACACTGTTCACCGGCTACTATTCACTGGATACTGTTCACATGATTCTTTGCTAATCAATCCAATGTAGGATCGCACTCGCGGAAGTCCACACGAAAATAATCCATAGAACCCTTGATTATTTTGCTAGAACAATCAAGGACTTCAAGAATCAAGAAAAAAGAACAAACAAAATTTTCTTCTTCACTCAAGAGTGTATGTGAGAGTGACAGAGAGAGAGACAGGGTGGCTAGGGTTTTTTGATTGAATGAATATATCACATTTGTTTTAATTTTAAGTTGCACTTATATAGTGCAACAATTATAACTCTATTCCACTTAGGAATAGTCATGGGCTCCAACCCTAATTCACCCTTACAACCAAACACCCCCTTTATGGTATTTTAATTAATTAATTATTATTATAATTAAAATCAATTAATATATAATATTAACATTTAATTAATAATAATAATTCATTTAAATATATACATGATATATTTAAATATAATCTCATTAATTTAATTTTAATATTAAAATTAAATACAGGCAACAACCTCAGCAAATTTAATTGCACTGTCAGATTACCAAAATACCCTTTCATCCTGGAAGACGAAAATACCCTTCTCACAAATTGATTCTTAAATTATCTTCTAAGTATGTGACCCGTAGGCTCTTCATCATATCGGCAGTATGTAGTATCGCAATTAACACAAATTAATCGACTCATTACACATAGACCGAGATTGGCCTCTAGCAAGGCATCATGACCATCCGATATATCCGAATTCAACGAAACCGTAGCCTGTCAACGGTATGGTTATCGTGCAATATAATCCTTTCATTATCTATTATCTCATCGAGACTGAGGTACAGAAATAGTGTCAACCTCAGATATCCTCGACATGTTTGTATTCAATTAATGGACCAATGACCGGAATAATAAATTGGATTGAGTATCAACTCAATCCCACTGTGGCCACGGATTTAGTGTCATTGTCATTTACTAAATTACCTAGTGAGATAACTTCTCCCGTACCCAAGAGTGATGAATCCTTTGTCAATCCACTATAGTCTTGATACACTTCTCAATGTAGTCAATCACTACCGTATTGATAGCTCTGAATAGAACTACGTTGGACTAGTGTCAAACTACACCAATTGGTGCACAAGGCGCTCCGGTGATCTTAAGTCTAAGGATCATATGCACCACCATCCGTTAGAGGATTTATTCCATAGACACTAGGGTTACCACCCATATGAAATCCTCTTGTGGGTCTGTCCAGTGAACTTGTCTCTAGCAAGTACCCATGCATTGCAGCAGGTTGTCGACAAACAACCTTGACAAGTGAGATCAGTCATTGCCTTTCAACAGGGTCGTTCAACACTATGATAACCTTATCATATTATCTGTGCCCTTGGTCAGAATAATACTAGGGCTACAGACGTTTCTAGAATGGCCACCATATGGATCATAGGGTTCTCATTATCAAGATTTGAAACACTTGATACCCTCGTCAGGGTTCTACCATCCTAAAGACATATATCATTACATATAACTATGATTTACACGATATAGAAGAATATGTCTTTTATTGATAAATAAACATTTATTATAGAGTCAACTAAGGCCCAAGTCTTTTATTATTTTTATTAGTTGGGTTTGGGATAGTTATTAGGGTTAAGACCTACTAATGGGCTGTTAGCCTTATTTGTTAGTTATATATAATTGTAAGCTGTTTTGGCCGCACACTTTTTGGGAGGAATAATTAAATGTTTCGGTTTTTTTTCTTTTCAAGATTGCATCTTGATCTCTATAACTCATCAAGAATCACCAATTCTTGTGATGTTTTTCCACTAAACTTATCAATCTAAATCAAGATTGTGGCCATTTAGATTATCTATACCAAGGTTGTTATGATAGATTCGTTTCGGGTCGCAATTCTTCGAATTCTGATTGTTCCTAGATCTTTACGTTCTTGATTGGATGACCTTTTATGTTCACATGCATTAATGGATGACCTTTCGTAAAGTTTTATTGGTGCAGTAATGAGTTATTAATCTATTAAGTTTTTGCACCATACATTTACTGTATTAAACTTACAACCCTATATTGAGGCGTCGTAATCGTTCAGTGAGATATAGAGAGAAGAATAGAAAGAAATTCAATACTCCATATATGATTTTGTCTCTTTACTTATTCTTCCTACTTTATCTCTTTGTTCTATTACTTTAGTTTTGTAACAAAATTATCAAATACCTCCTATCTAAGGGCTTTTTTATAAGATACTATAAATGACCATAAATTGGGGGGTTAAAAAACATTAATCAACTCCCCATATCATAAACGCTTATAACTAGAAGTG